AGAGGTTATAGTGGCTTATGTCAGTCTTAGCTTCTTTCCTGTAAAATGGACCTGAGGGGCTGGAGAGATGGCTCAGCAGTTAATAGTACTTACTGCTCTTGCAAAGGACCTGGATTTTAAAACCACCCATCACTCCCGTTTCAGAGGATCCAACGCCATCTTCTGGTAATGTAGATACCTGCACATGCATATGTAGTGCACATTTGTACACTTGGACACACACACGTACACATAAAATAAGTAAATCTTTTGAAAATGGACCAGACTACATGCATACTTATTTAGCCTTGATGCTTAATTTTTCTTAGAGGCTGTTAGTCATAAATGCAAGAATGCAAGAAATGGCATCTTAAAACCATAGATGGGTTTATCTGTATCTACTCTATAAAGGGAGTTTTGAATTCATATCTAGGCTTTGTTAGGCTCCCTTTATCTCCTGTGTCTATCTTTTCTGAGTGTGTAGTTACCTCCAGATTCTCCTTCCAGGTTGAACAAACATTCTAAGTGCACCTACCTTTTCATGTACCATCCTGTCTGACTCAAGGCATTTTTAGTTAGACTTGTTACCTCTGTGGATATTAGACAGTTTGTATTCATTTTGATCTTTCAAGTTGGAGAGAATGCATCCAGTAGTCACCCAGAGTTCACTCTGGTTTCCTCCACACTTATAAAACACTGCATGATATTTTCATGGACAGCAACAATGGGAAAGGGAGAGGATGTATGTTCCATGTGCATTTTATAGTCTCTTGTTTTATTAGGGTCATCTCATTTTACTAATCTTTGACTTTTCAATATTTAACTTTGATAAAATCAGAAAGATGTTATTTTATATAAAAATCTATTGAAGATTGACTTGTAATTTGTAAATAAGAATATATCATTTTTCTTCTCTTCTACAGACCATATTGTAAGTTCTGTGGCATCTCAAGGTTTTTCATTTTTGTTTTTATTTTTTACAAGCACTCAGAGTAAGACTTCAATCCCTGATCACTAACATTTAGTCTGGTCATCACCTCCATCTTTTCTGTTCATGGACCTTTGGAGCATTTGTATTTAGGAGACTGGAGCTGAAGGCTGCCACGTATCTGCTGAAGTGGACCAGTTCCCTTGTCTGTATGCTTTAGGACTAACTTACAGGATGGGGTTTATCACAAACTAGAATGGGCAGGAGGAAACAGCAGAAGGAATGTAACCTTGGAATTTTGGAGAAGTAACAGAGGAGGAAGGGAGTGAATGTGTGAGTCCACACATATCATCTTTGGCATTTTAATCTATAAAATAAAAACAAATTGAATTACATTACAGCTTTTCCCAACCAGCTTTGGGATACTCTGCAATTGACTTAGGAATTCTTCTTGGGTACCTGAGTTTACATACTGATACCCCTGTCCTGGTTTAGGGGTGAGCCCATAGCAGCCTTACTGCATTAATGACAGATAGGTCACTGATTCCTGTGGCTCTAGGATGCATCATGCCACAAAGCATGCTTTGTTTCTAAGGAGTAGCAGTGCCATTTAGGGAGGAGGCTTTGGGGCAGGAGGTGCTGGAAGATGAGCAAACAAGACATGATGGATGAATTCCTGAGGAACATGGTGGCCAAGACAATTTATATAATTTACTCAGTTCAAGGACATGTTGGATTCTACCCTGCAAAAAATACCAGTATTTGTCACAAAGTAATCTTAGTTCTTACTAGCTTCTCTTTATGTCTCAGGGCTTGAGCACCCTGAAAAGAACTTGTTGTTTCATCATTTGAATTTTCAAAATAAAGCATTCAAAGCCTTAAATCTGATGGGGAAAACATACCCAGGAAACTGGGGGAGACTAGGAATTAAGGGAAGTATTTTAAGCAAAGCCTTGAACAAATAGAAGGATTAGACACAATCTCCTGAGTGCACAGGCAATGTGACCCTTGTCCAAAGTTTCAGGGACAGTTGCAGCAATCAAGTGCCAGTGTGAAGAACTTTTCATGCAGAAAATGAAGTGTAGCAGAGTTTCAGTTTCAGCTTGACTGGATTCTAAATTTTGAAGACTGAAGGAAGAATGTTACCCATTGAATGTCATTGTTTTTCAGTGATTTTTTTTTTAAACAATGAGCACCCTTTTTATTCATACCATGTAAACAAAGCAGCCCCAAGTGGTAGCCATCAAACTTAGGACAACTGGCTAGTGCCTGGTGTTATTAGTAGGTGAACAAAGGCAAAAGTCTGCACAGGTGCATCTGAAATGAGCATCATCTGCACCAAACAGCCCATCTTTGCATCCTACCATCTGTGATCATCTCTGCTTATTTGTCCCTTTACTAGAGAAGCAAATACTCCCAAAGAGCAGAGCATGGTTGCTGTCTTCCACACAGGATTAGCTTTGTAATCTATACACTAGTAACTGCCTGCTTCTACTTTGGCTCATAGCTGCAATTCATACAGCTACCAAGTGCGTAATCCTTGGTAGAGACTTTACACTTGCTCATTTCCAGGCATGGGAAAGCCCTTACTTCAATATTTACCAAGATATTTCCTAAACACTGAAATATTTATAGCTTTATATACATTTAATTAATTCATAATGACTTACGCTTTCATATTAAATTTAAGAGAAAATACTGGAGCAAAATTTTAAGAAATAGCACCACCTACGGACAAATTAGTGTCAACTCTGAAATTTCTATTGTCACTTTTCCTAAGTTTTGGACTGCCATCCCTCTTACTGGAAGAGTTTGTGTTTCCTTCCTTCTTTCCATCCTCCTTCCCTCTCTCCCTCTCTCCCTCTCTCCCTTTCTCCCTCTCTGTCTTCTTCTTCTTCTTCTTCTTCTTCTTCTTCTTCTTCTTCTTCTTCTTCTTCTTCTTCTTCTTCTTCTTCGTGGTTGTTTTTTTTTTAATTCCTTATTCTAGAACAGTTCCCAGGTATGTGTCTCAAGGTCATTGATGAAGACCAACATCATTCTCACAATGGTTTTTCTTTTTCCTTTAAAAGGTTCCAAGCACCCATCTTTTCTCGATTTTTTTTTCTGATTCCGGCTATAATCATATTATGTAGATACTATAGTATTTTTTTCTTCAACTAGGATGTAATTACTACTGTGGTTAACTCTTCCATTGGTATAGATTTTGTATAACTACTTTCCTCTTTTTCAAAGGAATACTTACAGGATATAGTAAAGCTGTCTCTGCTAAAACAAAAACAAAACAACCCATAATCTAAAGCATGGCTCTTACCTTTGAGTATGCTATGTAAGCCTATGCCCCTGTTCAGATTCAATAGTGTGAGCCAGCCCATAGAATCCGTATCATCACTAAGCACTCTGGGTAGGGGTGGACCTGGGTCCTCTAAGAGATACTTAATGATTATTCAATTAGGGATTTTAAAAACAAAGGCATTTTAAAGCATAGATGCTTAGATATTTATCTAAGATTGAATATTCATGTGTGACACTTCATTTTTTTAACCTCAGACTTGAAGAAACATTTCTACTGACATGTAGGAAAATAACAGTGACACAAGTTTTAAAAATACCCAAGGGCCAGCAAGCTGGTTCAACAAGCAAAGGCTCCTGCCACCATGCCTGTTGACCTGAGTTAGAACTTTGGGTACCACATGATAGAAGATGAGAACTGGCTCCCTCAAATTATCTTCTGACCTCCATATGTGCATGGTAGCATGTGTATCCAACATCCACACACATACATATTAAATAAATTAAAATGTAACAAAATTGAAAATCAACACTTGAATGAAGAAATGGTCACTCCTCACCATAAGTTCAAACCTATCATAAATTTAAAATTACCTTAACAAATTCCTTCCCAATACTAAACATTACAGCTTGGCTGCACTGCAATGTCTCTGTTGCTGACCTGCACACTACTGCCATCACACCTCACCTCCAGGGTTTCATACTGCATGTTGTAGCCCAGAAAAGGAGCTGCATTGAAGCTCCGAGGCACAGTTCCTACTGAATCTGAAGAGGTCCACACAATCACAAGGTTAGAATGCTGAGTGGAGCTGTTGGGGGAGTCTGCACACCCCCTCCTCCAGAGATGCCCTTGTCCCACAATCATGATAGTTTCTTTCAGGTGTATTTTCTCTTCTTAATTAACTGAGTCTGATCTTTGGTATAGTAACACTCAGTAGATAAGTTCTGTACATTTTCTATGTTTTGTCTTAGCCTGCTTTAGAAAGTTTCATAATTTTATTTTGTCACGGGTAAGACATATGTAAATTCACTATCTACTGAAGTAAAATGGAAGGAATGGGGCAGTGTTTCCCACTTAGTTTTGAGAGTTGCATGCATTTAGTCAGCTCCAGGGCAAACAGGTGCGTGCAAGTTTGCAGATCACTTATCTTTCTAGATGCTGAGAAGTACACCAAAGATGCCCTTTGTCAGCTGATGATGAGAGAGGAGAAAGAATTTTAGACGATCACTTCTGTAAGGGTTTTTAAGATGTGATGTGAATTTTTTTTAATTAAAAGAAAAGGAGGCTGATATGATGGCTTCGCAGGTAAAGGCACTTGATGTGCAAACCTATGACCTGAGTTCGTGGACACTTGTGACCTGAGTTTGATCCCTGGAAGAAGAGAATGTACTCTAAAAAGCTATTCTCTGGCTTACATATGTACACTATCCCAGTGTTGTGCGTGCACACGCATGTGTGTGCGTGCGTGCGTGTGTGTGTGTGTGTGTGTGTGTGTGTGTGTGTGTGTGCGCACACACACACACACTATTAGAAATAATAAATACAAATTTGAAATTTTAAAGATGTGATTTACACAGTAACTGGAGCAGTCTCACATGTTGCATCTTTTTGTATATAATATTTTTATTCTTTGTGAATTTCATACGTGTATACAATGTATTTTGATCAAAGTTAACTGCCCCCCTCCCTAGATCCACCATACATGCATGGGTGTGAGGCCATTCACTGTAGCAAGGACAGGGACCACACCCCTAAAAAAAACTGCCCTTCCATTAGCAGCCATCAGTGATCAATAGCTCCACAGCTAGAGGTGAGGACTCATAAGCCCTGTCCCCACCCATGCTGGAATGTGGACTGGGTTAATCTTGTGGAGGCAACAGGATCTCCACAAGAGGAGCTGCTGAGAGTTCCTGAGTGCATCAGTCAGGAACTGTCACATCCAGGAGACAGTTTGTCCCAGTCCTCCCCAGTCTCTGCCTCTTAGGATCTTTATCTTTTTATTTCACAGTTATCTCTTCTTTGTAATTGTTGACCACACTTGTAAAACAAAAATTGAGAGTGCTATTTGAAGGACATCAAGAGTGACTTTCACAGTGACATTCCAGGCCAGTGATGCTGGCTCACCACTCCTTTGTTTCTCCTTTCTTGTTTTGTAGAGTAAGGATGGCAAAAGTCCTCTGCACATGACAGCTGTCCATGGAAGGTTCACTCGGTCACAAACCCTCATCCAGAACGGTAAGGGGTATGCTTCTGTGGGGCTTAACAGTTTTCTTAGATGGCTTTAACCATCTACGTGAAAGTTGATGCTGTGTTTGCAACTTAGTAAGCATGGGTTTGCACAAGGCTTTGCAGTCTTGCTGAATGCTCGCTATACTCACATGGCCATTTTCAATAGTGGGGAGAATGTAAAACCATGTTGTAGTCAATTCCCAGACAGGTGAAAAACATGTGTGCCTGGCTATTGGGAGAGATGAACAGTTTTTAAATGCTGGAGTTTTTCACTTTTAATGATGCTAAGCCTCCGTAGTATGCACTTTCTAACAGCTGGTCTGAGATATTTTTAGATTGGTGAGCCCAGTAAAGTTCCCCAAGTTTAAGCTCACTCAACCACATCGACAAAGGTAGAAAAAAAGTGAGGTGACTCAGGGTTTAAGTAGGTAAGTTTGTGGTGAACTCACAGGCTTAACAGAGACCTGGGAAAGCCATGGAACGCAGGAATTTTCCAGGCTCTTAACAAAAGTGTGCTTGAACATCACCGGGCTGTCTCGGAGGCCAAAATTCCTGAAATCTCATTGCATGTCACAGCTGATGTCACAGCCTTAGGGTCATGCTTAGCATCTGTGAGTGTGCTACCAGTGACAACACAATTATATGATCTTAGCAAGCCTCAGAAACAATTTGAAAACAAGAATAACAACAACAACAAAAAAAACAGGGTTAGATCAGGCATTAAGCTGACTTTCCTGGTCAATTTGGTAACTCAAATCTTCCAATTCTCAAGTGTGGGTGATTTCTCTTGGATCTCTTTATTTTGTAGCTGTAAGAATTTTGGGCACAATGGAAAGTTAGTGGCACTGAGTTAAAACTTAGATATACTCAAGTCATAAAACCAAATGTGTGTGTGTGTGCGCGCGTGCGTGCGTGCGTGTGTGTGTGTGTGTGTGTGTGTGTGTGTGTGTGTGTGTGTGTGTATCTAGTCATTGATGATGCTTAGTAAGTAATATATCCACAACAACACAGATTATAAACTGACATGTATGACCATGTCAGTGAAGCTATGTGAGAAAAGATACCTGAGCAAGCCTCCAGTAAGTCAAGGAAGGAGAAGAAGAAATTCACTGCAGAGTACCCGTTGTTCCCAACCTGCACTATGAGCTGTGACATCCATTTTGGTTCTTCTTAGCCTATTGTATTTCTCACAGGCTTTTCAGAAAGTACCCATTCCCCTCAAAACAAACAAGGCTTAAACTTAAAAAATATTTTTAGCATATTCTTTTTGGCTTATGTATGTATTGTGTGTTGTATGTTATATGTGTGGTGCACAAGGAGGACATATGTGTGAGTAGCTGAACAAGCTCATGCAGAGGCCAGAGCAGGATGTTTGGTGTCTTCTTCCTGGCTCTATCGTACTATTTTGAGATAGGGTTTCTCACGGAGCAGTTTGGGGTTGCAGATAAGTTGGTCAGCAAGCTCTCAGGTCTGCCCATCTCTCTCTGGTGTTATGTGCATGAAGGGCCATGCCTACTTCTTTATGTGGGTGCTGAGGATTTGAGCTCATGCCTTGTGCTTACAGAGCAAGGGACTCTTGCTCACTGAGCCATCTCCCTAGCCCCTTGAATTTTTTTTTTTTGATGCGAGTTTAATCAGTGGACTTTAGCTATATGAAACAAAAAGTTTTCTCTCTCATTAAAGCAATCTCCAGTGACAGAGACAAGGCTGAAGAGTTAAAAAAAAATGTGTGTATGAATGTTTTACCTGTGTGTATATATGTGTACCATGCATGTGCCTGATACCCACAAAGATCAAAAGAGGGTGTCAGATTCCCTGGAATTGGAGTGACAGGTGGTTGTGAGCAGACATGTGGATGCTGGGAACTGGACTCTGTCCTGTGCAAGAGCAGTAGGCGTTCTTAATTACCGAACCAGCTCTTCAGCCCTGAGAACATTTGTTTTAAAACCTGCTTTTTTTTTTTTTTTTTTACTAGTCTATCCCTCTTCCAGACCACACTTGCATCTCCTCCACTTCAAGTATGGCCCAGCCTCCCTCTCCTCTCCATAATAGTGCGCTTACAGCATTCCTAGGGGCTATTGGTTGCCTTGATCCTCCATCCGGCAAACTTGGAGTTTGCTGCACTTTGAAGTCTTAGCTTTGTTTTATAGCTTATCCCATCACTGGCTGCCTAGCATCAACTTATGGGTGAGCTGGGATCCTGAGGCCTGAACGGATGAGATACAGTGGCTGTAATATACATACATGTTAGTACATGTACTGATAAAGTTAACTTTAGCTGAATGTTCATGCTGTGCCAGGCTCTTGGCCAGACACGCCCACTTAATTCCTTCTCGCCATCCCAGGAGGAACTTTATCAACCTTACTTCAAAGATGAAGAAGGTGAGGCAGGGCAGTGGTCACATGTTGGGCTTCCTGAGCAGCAGGAACACAGTCTAGCACTCGAGAGTAGCCTCCAGCCACCATCTCCACATACATCTCCCCAGAAGAATGTGGGATTCAAGTTTTTTTCTTTTCAACTTGAATTCAGTTCCGTCTCAGAGGTACATAGACTGGGACAGAGTTGTCCCCGTAGATGGACCCCTGGGTGCTTTCTTTCTGCTCTCATTACATCATGAGAGATGTCTGTCCTGCCATTTGACCCGTCTGGGCATTTAAAAAACATTTTTAGGGGGCAAAGGAATTTCTTTTCTTTCTTCCTGTTTATTGTCCTGTTTTGGGAAAAACTCCTGCTCTTGCAAAGCCCCTCTTCCCCAGAGGCTTGGTGTCTGTCAGTCCCCAGAGCTTGTCACAGCTCACCCAGGCCTGGTGTCTGTCAGTCCCTAGAGCTTGTCACAGCTCACATAAGCTGCTCTGTGTTCTGGAGCTGGAAGGGCACTGTCACACGGGGACACAGTTGACCACGCACTGGGGAATGTCCTTTGTTTTTGTTTGTTCTGTTAGGTCGCTTAGATGTCTGGCCTCTGTAGAGCATTTTTCTGATTCTTCCCTCCAGCCAGGCTTACTAAATCTACATGAAAGCCTGGTTCCTCCAGCATCATTTGGGAAGGCAATCACTAAAACAAGCAAGTAAAAAAACCCACAACTTTTTCTTTTCCAGTTAAAAACCAAAGTGTACTTGGGCTCAAATCACATTGTTTGTTGTTGCAAAGCTACAGCAAGAGAGGGATGGAGCTAGAAGATGACACTGCGGAATCAGAGGCATCCAATCCAGCTAGTGGCATGAGGCAGCTGCCTCAGATACTGTCCAGCAAGTTACAGAGTTCAGACATGATATTGCCTTAAACTCATCTGGTACCAGCTGTCTTTATTTTTGAAGCTTCTAAAAACACTAGCTTACGATGACTCAGTATGGTTTTTGACCTTTGGCTCACAGTCTTTCTGAAGCAACTTAAGATGACCATTCTTGTCTGTGCAATGAACAGCTAATTTCAGATGAATGCTGACAGTCCCTTTGAACGTGCCGTGCATGTCTTTAATGTGGTGATCACTTATTTTACTCACTGATTGCTAATAATCAGTTTGCTGCATTTACCCTACAACCTTCAGATGGCTGGTAAAGATATCTAATGTCTCCTCTGAACAAGGCTTAAATATTTTCAAGTGGAAATGGAAATGTCTGTAGAGTGCTAATAAAATAAAAACTCACTCACCCAGAGGATTTACTTTAATAGAAACATATTTTCAGATACAAATGCAAAGTCTCTCTTATTTTCCTATTGTTAGGATGTTCCCCTAAAATATATTTTAAATGACAGCAAAAGCATATACATATGGTAATTATTCTTACATGTCTTTAAATAGACATAAAACGACAACATCAATGGGAAACTTTTTAGACTTAGACTACCCTTGTTGATATTTTCACCCCCCTTTTTTTTTCTCTCTTCAATTTTTGGCCTTAGTGTGTCTTCAGAAACCTTTGGTGACTCTCAGCTGGGAAGGATGTGTGGCTGGCTCTGTAGCAGTGTCAGGGACAAAGGCTTCTCTGAAGTCTATGGATCTCCTTCCCCATTTTCCTAGATCAGTTCCATGGTTGACCCTTTCCGGTAGACCACGCCTCACGTTCTTAGACAGATACATATACCCTAGACTATGTGGGGTAATCATGGAGACCAAATGGCTGCCAAAAACACAATCAGGTCATAAAAATGAATTAATCTAAATAGAAACTTCTAAAATCAGATCATAGTTAGATATTTCTCTACTCCCTAGATGATCACAATAATTAGCTTTATCATTTTTATTATTATGAAATAATGATACACTCACTGCAAACTAAAATGAAATCATTGAAGGACCTCCCTAATCAGAACTTCCACTGGCAATTCGGTAAATGTTTTGGAATTTTCTATTTACTTATATATAGAAAGATACCCATAGTGGTCATAGCGTATTTCTTTGAATAACTCATTCTCAAAATGAATTCCATGCCAGAGAGACACAGATTCGAGTAAAGATCAGTGTTTGGATTCAGACTTCCAGTGATATTTCTCCACCATGGTCAAAGGCAACAGTGTTGTCAGCTCTGCATGCTCAGACTTGCTGGCAGCAGATTGATCTAGATACATTAGTCTCTTAGACAGAGGGAGGCACCTCAGATCTGTCTGTGATGAGCACAGCTTTTGAAGCTTTTGCCTCTTTCAGAAGGGCCACATACTTTTGATAATTTATTGTAAAGATTATTATCAACTGACATATTTTAATAATTTATTTGTCCAGTTAAAAAAATACTACTTCCTGGAAAAAAAAACTCTTGGTGATGTATTGATTAGGATGATTAAAAGTAGGTTTCATGGGCTCATTGGAGTGAAGGGATGTGCAGATATTGGGGGATTTGATAACGGTTTATCACAGGACACAGGATCCTGGCCTGGAAGTTCAAGCTTGTCCCAGATCCTGGAAAACTCTGAGGTAATACCTGAGAACATGTCACAAGGATATAAACTGCCACAGCCTCTCTCAAAAGCTGTTTTTCTGCTGTCTGTCCAGAGCCTTCAAAAGATGCAGACTTTTAATCTGGCAGTTCTGCTTCTAACAGTGCTGCTGGAGGAAGTAGTCTGTAGCGTGAGAAGTCTTCATAAAGATGCTTCTTCTTCTGTCTTCCTTAATAGCAAAAATCTGGGAAGAGCCTCCAATGTCTAGTGACTGGGGACTTGTTAAGTAAATGCTCCAAATTACAGATCCTATATAGCTATTTACACTTCTATTAGTGAAAAAAATAACACATGGAAGTATCTGTAATGTAGCGTTAGGGGAGAAAGCAAGATACAAATATTTCTACACTATATGAGCTCAGCCATGGAAAAATCTACATATAATCCACGCATGCAAATACACACTCATTTGCATGTATGCATACACATGTACATACACAAATACATACAAATGCACACAGATATGCTCAGATGCATACACAAGAGCATGCACACGCAAATGCACACATGCACATTCAAAAATGGGAGGGAATGCTCCAGAATACTAAGACTGTCTTAGATCATCAGTTCATTGATGGATGGTTTCTCTCTGTTGTAAATTTCATTTGATCATCTTCATCAACAATACATTGTTTAGAACAAGTATATTTTCATAGCTTGATTAGAGCCATTCATTCATATATTTACATTTCTTATTTTGGCAAATACAGACGTACATATAATTGAGGTGTGTGTATACTAGATATTATAATGCTAGTATATCTTGTCACAATAGGAATATATTAACAAATCAAAATAATAATGAAATAAGGCCAAAGGTGATGGGACCTTGTTGACTGGTGTTTTTTTTTTTTTTTTTTTTTTTTTTTTTTTTTTTTTTTTTTCAGTACTAGAGAGTGAAAGTGACTATTTGGTAAAGCATAGTCATTCATTGAGGTCTACTCTATCCCTGTCATCTACCAGCATGGTCCGACAGCTCAATACTCTATACCTGTCATCTACCAGCATGGTCTGATAGCTCAATACTCTATCCCTGTCATCTACCGGCATGGTCTGATAGCTCAGTAATGTACAGATTTCCACAATGATGCAGAGATTATTTCTAAATAGGATAACAAAAAGCTACAACCTCAGAATGACTTTACTTTGCTGTAATACACTGGGTATTTAATTTTTAAGTGTTGTTAGAGTATATTTGTTTATGTAAACACAAACATCCACTATGATTTATTCTCCCATGCTATTTCCCCCTACTTGATTTCACCATTTAATTTTCTATACCTTGCTTCTGGCCTTAAAATTATCTTTTTCTTCTCTTTTTTGGAAATGAGGTCTTGTCATGTAGCTCAGGCCAGCCTCAGACTCATTAGGTAGCCCAGGATAGCTTTAACTCACAATCCTTCTGCCACAGCCTCCTGAGTCCTGGGATTTACAGTGTGAGTCACCATGTCTGCTAGGATCTACCTTTTAAATCAAGATCTAAGTCATATGTAGTTCACTGGGCTTGAGTGCTTTCTCAAGGTCACACAGCTATCACTGCTGTATAGCTGTAGAAAGTCCTGATCATCCCTAAAGGATCCTCGTTCTCATCAGCAGTCACTCTCGTTATCCTCCCCAGACCCTGGCAACCACTAATCTATTTTGTCCTTATGAACTGTTTGAGCCTCTTCCTCAGAACTATTTCTTTCAGGCCTTAGGGGACATTTATTTAGTCAGACAACTAAAATATTGCATCACAGCCACTAAAATAAACTCCAAATGGGCCAGCTAACTGAACCTAACACATTTTTCCAGTGTAGTCAACAATGGGTTAATTTCTTTGTTACCAGAGTGTACAGAAGGCTTTTGTACTTGCAACCCTGATACAATAAAGGAAAAAGGCTTATTTATTGTATTTTTAACCGAATGAAAACACTGTAAATAAAGGCAAAGGAAGACTAAAAGGAAAATATTTATAGCATATATTACTGATAAATACACAATCCCCCAGAGCCTGAAGAGCTCTTGAAAATCGAGGAATAAAAGACCACATGCAGACACACAAATTTAGAACAATGGGCAACAATCCTGAGAAATGCTTCCTTAGGGTTAGATAAACAAATGTCCCTGGATACAAGGGATGATGCTCAGCTTCCTTCATAATAGGATAAATGCAAATGAAAATCCCACTGGGATGCTGGTTCTCAGCCATCAGATGACAGATTCTCCAAAGCTTGATGAGACTGTGGAGAAGAGGCACACTCTCACAGCACTGGTTAGCATGCATGTTACACAGCACCACAGAGAGTGAGTTGGCAAAACCCAACAAAAACACACACTCATTTGCTTTTAAACTAGAAAGTACCCTTCTAGGAAAATTACTCTGAATCTGCAAATAGCAAATACAAAAAGTATACATGCAAATGAGATTCTTCTCTGGTAATAGCAAAATGTTATTTACAGCCTAATCCATAGGATATGAGTCTGCTAAGCCAGCTCATCCATGTGGGAGGAACAACACAGCTGCATAATATTAAGGCTGTCCTCAAAGAAGTGACCACTTACCTGAGTTCCAGGATGTAGTCAGTGAAGACACAGTCAGAGAAACAGGAAGCATAAGCTAAAACTAATGAAAATGGTTTCCAATAGGAAGTCTGTAAGAATGGAAGAGAAGTGTGTGTGTGGACCCGGAGTTTGCTAATTAGACTTGGTGGCTGGCCAGGGACCCCCAGGGTTCTTCCTGCCACTGTCTTACTCATGCTGGGATTTCAAGTGTGTGCCACTGTGTCCAGATTTTTGCTTAGGTTCCGGGAACCAATTTAGGGCTTCATGCTTGCATGACAACCACTATGCCAACTGAGGTATCTCCTAAGCATGGGGCTTTTAGAAATACAATTTTGATTTGTGAAGTATAAATATCTTACATATGAGTAAAACACATTAAATTGAATCTAGTTTAGAATTTAAAAGACAATCCAGTGTATACCAAAACAAGTATACAAGTGTGTAGTGGTTAGGCAGCTTTTGCATAAAGCGCCCCCTGTGTGGTGGAGATCATTATGGAACAGTTTTGTTGGAGATGGCACATTACAGTGAGTATTCTCACAGCCTTAAAGGGTCAAGAGGGTATAGTTCCCATAGGATGTGTTGGCAGGTGCCATCTTGAGTAAAACGGAAAACCCCATTGCAGCTGCTTTTAAAGAATTAATAGTTCAGTACCATTAAGTGCTTACACTGTTACGCAGTCACCATCAACAGCATCATCTTTCCATACTGAAGCCTTGTGCCTGTGGCACATGATGAAGCATTGCACGGCCAAGTGGCAGAGCAATGCCGCCTGCATGCATACGGGGCTGTACCATGGGAAGTAGCCTTGCCAACACATGTAGCGTGACTCTGATGGGGAAACCTTAGGAGAAGTCCTGGATGTCGGACATCCTACACAACTTGGCTTGGTTTCCAAAGATACTAATAGCATGTGGGGTTTTGAATAAATAAAATGCAGAAGGAGTCATGAAAGGGATGCTGTCAGAGTCTTTGGATTCTAGACTTAAACAGGTAAACAAATGAAAAGCCCATTTGGAAGCCAGTTGAAGACAGTGCCATCTGCACTGTATATTACATGGAATTATACCAATGTTCAGTAAGATAAGAGGATGCCTTTGTGTATGAGAATATTTGATCTTAAGGGAAACTTATGTGCAATTAAAATGCCACGCTATCTTATTTATTTTTTAATGATTGTTCACATAAACAAATAGACCCACTATATGTATACATAGACTTATAGAAAGGGAAACATGAAATAAGAAGTTGGAGGAAAACAAAGCAAAATAAATGAGACAAAATGAAAATGCTATATGAAAGGACCGATAACCAAAGCGAACACAGGCATTTTCAGCTTTCTATCCAAGCCTTTTCTCATTTCGCTCATCCATATTTTAAGCTAGGTCACCACACTACACAAATCTTCCTCTGAAGGTTCTATCTCGTTAGGCTTCAGAATTGTGTTTTATGGAAGCTGATTGTATTGTCCACTTAGAGCCAGAATATGGTTTTAAGGTTTTAGGTTCTTGAGACAATATAGATTTTTCAAAAGCATGTCTAATAAACTTCTATTTCAGCCGACATGGCATTGCTACAGCTTTAAATGGTGACTCATCCCCATAACAGTCATTTTTATACTGTAGAGCAGAGATGCACACTGAAGTAGAAAGGAAATCAATATTCGGTGTTCCCAAGTGGCTGGCAGGATGTGATACCTAAATCAGCCTGAAGCTTTGCATGATGCAGTGTCACAATCTCTTTCAGGAGGCGAAATCGACTGTGTGGATAAGGATGGCAACACTCCCCTCCACGTGGCTGCAAGATATGGTCACGAGCTTCTGATTAACACCTTAATAACTAGCGGAGCCGACGCAGCCAAGTAGGTTACTGGGAAAGTGCAGTGAACTGCCACATGTGGGAAGGCTGCCAGGGGAGGCTGTCGTGCGGTGGAGGGCTCCCGTGTATCCAGGGTAAGGTGGATCTGTGCCATCATGCTAAGCACAGATTACATCTGAAATCAAGTAAGGGACTTCAATGGCAGAGCCAGGAGGAGCCAGATTGCTTCAGGTGCATCAGAAGGAAGCCTGCTCTGCTGGCTTTAGCTGAGGAAAGCTTGACTTCATTTTCAGCTTTGCTTTCTAGTGTCCCTTTGTTTCAGCATCCACTGTTAAACAGGAAACATAACTAGGGAAGTTCAAATTTATTCAGAGATTTTGCTCAATCTTAAAAAATAGTGTTACAGGGGACAATTGAGTCTGTCTGCCACAAGGGGAAGCATGAGGGTCTGACTTCATTGTGCACTTCATTCCACAAAAATATCCAACGCATTTATCTGGATGTAGGGCTGAGTTCTTAGGGGGCTTCATGAGCAGTTACCTGCCTGGCAATATCGAGGAGATAATCTTGCTGGTCTCAAGCCACACTTAGGACATAGAACCTTTAAAGATGGTAAATCAGAGTTCTAAAGGAAAACAGGACTTCTGAGGCAGAATGCTTGGTGTTGATGTTGCCAAAGATGACAGGAAAGAGAAAATTTAAAGGTGCTGGTGGAGGGAGCCTTGGGCAAACCTGGGAGTGTGAGTGAGGGTGAGGGATGGAGGAGGGTCTGGCAGGGCAGAAGATGGCAGAGGCCCACAGGAGGAGAACAGCAGAGATGGAGAAGCATACCCCTGTGGTTTTCTGGGCTAGCCTGGGCTCTTCTTCTGTCTGCCTCTGTTTGGAACTGTGTGATTTTGAGCCTGTTCCTCAATCCCTCTGTGCTTTGAAACATAGAATACTGGTACCTGTCTATAAGTTCGTTAGGAAGATTAAATGACTTAATTACTAGGAAAGCTCTCCGGGAAGGTCTGAATGAGTGCAAGCTATTTAAATACACCAGAAAATCTTATTAAAATGATAATCTTTATGAAAAGCTCTCTGAACAGTGCACAACACATAGACGCGATCAATAAATGTTAACTGTTATTTTATTACCCAATAACATGTAATGGAGACAAACTAAAGAGTGCCTTAAACACTTAAATGCAGAGGTTAGCTTTGATCATAGGGGCTGTGGGTAGCCATAACTGAATTTTTAGGAGGGAAAGCATATATTAGGAATTCTGTGTTCATCAAATGTGTGTAATATAATTGGAAATCTTGCTGGAGAACAAACCAAAATTGAGGGGTTCAGGGTATCCATGGTGGACACATGTTCTCTATCAAATTCACCATAGGCCAGGCATTTTGAAGTGCACTTTAAGGAACTCATAGCTCTGCGGTTACCGTGGTTTAACCTTCCTTAATTCTTGGGTTGAACAAGACTTCACTAACCTCTTGGGGTACTGTCCTGATGGTGGAGATCACGCAGGAGTGAATGGTTGCAGTCTTGTGTTTGTTACTGTGAACCCTCGCAGCTAGCTTTTAGCTCTGGATCTCCCAGAAGGCCTGGTGTTCTAGCAGAAGAACAAATGGAAAGACATTTGGACAGAGTTGGGAGCTGAAAGAAAGGCAGAAGTATGAAGAAGGGATTCCCACTACAAGGACACAAACATATGGACGTTTTGAAACGAAGCCCTAGGGTTGGGTGGCCTGACTTGTGGAGGGGTCAGAAGAAATGAGGTGGGAAAAGAGGAAGAAGGCTCTAGAAGGATCTCTTATGTCCTGCCAGGAATTGGATTCTATTTGGAGGTATTCGGAAGCTGTTAAGGAATTATAAATGGCTGTGGGGTTTGTCTAATAGTCCCATTTGTGTGTAAGAGAGATCCTCTGATAACCACCCAGACAGACTGGAGGACATCCAGACTGCACACACTTGGCAGCCTCTTCCAAGTGTCCCGGGAAGAAAAGATGAGGTCGTAGTCTGAGGATGAGGCTGAGGACCTGCAGAGGAGGGGAATGCTGGCAAACAGTGTTAGCTGTGTGAATAAATCTCTCTGAATATAAAAAAAAAAAGGAATCCATTTTTAGGCAAGCCCTCCACCTCACTGATTATGCTCGCCATTCAGCCTCCATCACAGCAGAATTATAGTTACCATGGTTACTCAGATAACTGACTGTGATGCTCTATAGCTGCATATTGTTGAGTGCCTGTTAGTTGTCACCTACTGATTCTGGAGTTATATAGGTCCATGCTCTCAAGAAATATACAATCTATTTGGGGCCAGATTAAATAAACAATGACCATCCTTCATGCTAAGTATGTTACCAGAGCAAGTAACACTGCCATTGGGATACAAGAACACATATGAGGGATGTGGAATCCTGTCTTGTAAGGCCAGGACCCAGGACTGGCTTGAGGGAAGAAGCTGGAGTCAACCAAGACTAAGATGAGCATCTGTTAATCACGTGATTGTGGTGAGAGAGCTTCAGATCCTCAGTGAAGACTTGCTTTCATTTTATTACTTGAATAATAAGCAATTAGTCTAACTACAAGTTTCATGAGCTTTTGAAATGACCATATCAGTGAAGGTTTTAAAAACTGTAAAACATATACACATAGACAATAACATTCATATAAATTGCACAACTTAGTATCAGTGTAGTAGCAGACACCCATAAGTACTTACCTACCCTAGGTCCCATTCTAAAGGGTTACATGTAACCATCACAGCATTCCCATAGGATAAGTGCTGTGTGGTCAGCCCCATCATAAAAGGTCACAGAGCTAGTGAGCTGTCCTTGGTCATTTGGATCTGAAGCTCCAGTGTACTAACATGTGGCCCATTGCTAGTCTGATAACACATGTTGTAGTGACTCTGGTTGTGCAGTGTCAAGTCACCATCTCTATGGGGTTGTGGCAGATAAGGTGCTGAATCTTGAGGCTTCAGCATCTATTGCAAGAAGGAAGGCCTTGCAGCCATCTAAGCAGTGTGGTAGGGCAATGGGCTCAGCATCCAGTGCAGTGGCCCTTAATCTAATTATGCCATCTTTTGTTCATACAGCAATCTCAGTATCCCTGCATTGTTATCATCCCTCCCTGGTCTGAGACACAGCTTATGTCTAGTAGAGCCAGCTCTAGGTTCTCCCCATTGGTCTATGACAATGTTTAATCAAACTATGACACACAAGGTAATCTGAAGTCAAAAGTGAGCACTGAGGTTTTTGTCACATATATACAGGATGAAACATTGTCATTCACAGGAACTCAAATATGCTTGTATTGTTTTTTAGATTATTATTAAAAAGAAAAGATTCTCCAGAGGACCTTTTGGAGCTCAAAGATATTTGCAGTGGCCCTCAAGAATGCCTTAACAAGTTTAAGAAACATTGTAAAGCAGTGGGAAAGATGGACTGTCAAACAGAGGGACCTGTGTGTGCAAAACCCAGGGAACAGGACAGAGCTTGGCTCTTAGGAGGAGTGCAAAGATGTTCACTGAGAATCTAGAAACCCCATAGATTGGGCAATGGCCACTCACAAGAAGCCTTGGTAGCCGTTATAGTGTTCAGACTACTCAAACCACTGAAAGTGTTTGTGGGCTGCAAATGGCAGGAAATAGTCTAGTGCAATCAGCTATTCCCAAACGCCTGCAACAGAAGCTAGGGTGACATAGATAAAACCCCTTTAAGGTTTTGATTAAAAAAATGAGAAAAGTTCAGGTAAAGTAATCATAAGATGATTCCATTCTAAGTTAGGAAATGTGTCTTGCCCACTGAGTGGGCAAGTTAAACCAAGCCTGCACACTTGGAAGGTTGTGAATGAGGACTGAGCAAGGAGGAGGTTGAGAATGTTATTGGGTCATGGTTCACCCTGAGGGGCACAGGCTGATGATAACTTCACAGCCATCAACAAAGCTAACCCAGTCACGGGGTAACCATGCACCAGCTGCTCTTGTTCCATTCTTTGTGTGCCTTAGCCCAGTGAGTCCTTCTAATCATTCTGTGATGTAGACACTGTAATTATCTGTAAGTTCCTGATGATGGAGCCATTATATACTTGCCAAGCACTAAGTAGTTAGCAAGTAGCAACTACTTCTGACTCCAATGCATTAAACACAGTGTTATTTATCACAGAGAGTAAAGGGAAAGTTCTGGAATACATTGGTTATAGCTACCTTGTTTCCTGATACCAAAAGGAAACTGGAAAAGACCCCAGTATTCTTTGGGTAAAAAAGCCCTTTCACCTCTGAGAGCATGCCACAAGAACTGTCTTCCAGACCTCATTTATTTTGGAATAGCTAAGTAGAGCATGCCAGCTAACTGCTAAATTAGAAATACCTAAATACAAATGGCTTCCATTAATTTTATGACTTGCCAGATAAATGCAGCAATTTAACTGGAATTGGTCTCCTCTTTCCTGTAACTTATGTATTGTTAACTTTAGGGTTATTTGGCGATTTTATTTTTAATGCTCCTTGATATATGCCTGAAGTAAAAGTGAGGTTTCTCATCTAACTATGAGAGCCAAGCCCAAATTTTCCTACTGAAGATTTCAAAGTTCTTCCTCTGTGAGCTGTCTTATAGCAAGAAAGGGTAGTTCTATTTCAAATGTTTAAATCCTGCCTACATGATTCAGAGATTCTGAGTTCTGCCCCTTTCCCTTGTATTTACCTGACACATAGTTTGACTGTTTGAATAATGTCATATTCAAGTTCAAATGCCAATAATAATGGCATCTATGATGATACCTTTAAACTATTCACTAAAATGATGACTTTCTTAAATGCAGAATAAAATGCAGAAAAAACAAACAGAATTTTTGCTGGTCTAAATTAAAGTAGTTCTCTCTCTCTTAACCTTTCTAAGTAGTAGTGAAAAAGAAAATAGTTAATGTAGATTGTGATGAATCATGGAAAGTGATAAAAGTGGAAAGATTGGTAATAAGGTTTATTATTACCAATAGAATATATTATGCAATTGTTACACTTGCTTTCTGTTTTTATCTAGTTTCTTATAGATATTGATGTTATTTCTTTAATTCATTCTAATTCATACATGTTCTGTTTTATAGAAAAATATATTTTGTCATTATTAAATATATTGTTTATATACACACAAATGTATATATGTACAGATATATAATTATAAATTATATGCCATGTGTAAACATGTATGTGTTTATATATTATCTCTTTACAAGATATATTAGTTATACATTTGTGTGTATATACACATATATGTTTGTCATTATAAAATATATTTTGTATATATACATATATGTATATATATTTGAATGTATATATTTAAAATGAGGTTCATTCAAAAAATTGTAAGAAATGCAGTCTTGATTCAGAATGTTCCTTTAGAAACTTAAAAATGAGTTGGGTGGTGGTGGCATACTTCTTTAATCCCAGCACTCGGGAGGCAGAGGCAGGTGGATCTCTGTGAGTTTGAGACCAGCCTGGTCTACAAGAGCTAGTTCCAGGACAGCCTCCAAAGCCACAGAGAAACCTTGTCTCGAAAAACCAAAAAAAGTCATAGAAAATATTCTATGTATTTTATATGTTCTATACATTCTTTATATGCTCTTCCAAAAGTCTAGTCATATTTAATTTATGTGTTTTTGCCTTAACCCCTCCAAACAAATCAAATTATTACATGCTAATTTTATATGCTGTATATTCCATTTTGATTATATATATATATATATATATATATATATATCCTTTAAGAAAAAGTATGTTTCTATTAAACCAAGTGGGGATGTTATAAATAGTAACATTAATAGGAACCCTTTTCTGCCTCTTCCTTTCCATGAACAGCGAGTTTATCAATGATGAGATTGCTTTTTAGACTCTTGTAATGGGGGAGGGTAAGTGATGAGAGAGGCAATTACAAGCATCCTCCACCACATGATGCTGCCTGGAAAATTGCATGTCTTGATGGGTGCCAGCTATTGCATACACTGGGCTGGAAATCTCCAAAAATGGAAGGGAAAACTAACAGAAAATGGAACAAAATACCAACAAACAGAAACTGGCATGGAAAGAGAAAGTAAGGTTCATTGCTGACACTTGCATTTTGCAAAACACCAAAGACTGAAATATCTGTGGCTATGTATCTACTTTCACACATCCACACACACAATAAACACCAACTCTTGAGATGGAAAATAAAGTGTTTAAAACCAGAGCTTAACAAATTCAAATCATATGTGTTTCTTTATGAAGCGTGAAATCTGAAAATGGACCACTTTGTGTCTGAGAATAAACTTGGGTAGTTAATGCTGCAGGGCCTGTGTGGATGACTTTAAAAAATCTAAACTATATTATTTGAATCAAATGAGATGTTTATGAATATACAGCAAACCACAGATGGTACTGGTTGTCATGAAGTGAATTCAGCATATGACTTTGCATCCTTGTGCAAAGAGGGGCAGAGAGGGAGGGTTCAGAGGAGAAGCATCAACTCTAAAGGAAGACATGCCAGCGCGAGAGGTCTGTCTGTCCTTCCAGCATCACTCTGAGGAGGGGCTCGCAAGTCAGGCAGAGCAGGCTAAGTTTATGATATTTGTTCCTGTGTTTTGTGACTGGTAATTGGTGATGTGGGTTAGTGTACATCAGCAAAGTCCATTATGAAGGTGAACTTTTGCCTACAAAATGTAAACAGTTCTTTTTATCAAAATTGTATTTTGGGGGGTGGGGCGTTTCAAGGCAGGGTTTCTCTGTGGCTTTGGAGGCTGTCCTGGAACTCGGTCTTGTAGACCAGGCTGGTCTTGAACTCACAGAGATCAGCCTGCCTCTGCCTCCCAAGTGCTGGGATTAAAGGTGTGCGCCACCACTGCCTGGCTCAAAATTGTATTTTTAATAATACAGCCACTATTAGGTCTTAACAAAACACAAACAAATACTAGGTCAGTAGTAAATATTTATCGAATCAAGGAATAAATATTTACCACTTGAGGGTTATCTTGCTTAGCACTGTTTTAGATCTAGCACATAGCATAGTATCTTAGGCTTGCAGTGTTGAACAGGTAAACAAGTAAGAGAATGAGTGACTGAATGAATGAATGAGATGTCTAACCACTAAGCTGAAACAATAGGGTAATACATGTTTGACTCTTCATATTTTTGTCAAATATATGCATATATACACATGTACATACATATACATGCACATACATATTAGATATGTAGAGATACACATAATTACATATATACGTATGTACATGAACACATATGTACACACACAAGTACATACATATGTACACACACAAGTAAATACATATGTACATGCATGCATATCACACACATGTACATACATGCATAAATACACATACATATGTATATATGTCTATATGAACACATCTGTATGGTTATAGGCTTTTGATTGGGTTAGAACAAAGGTCGTCTTAAGGCAGAAAATGATTGTGTAATTATTTATTGAATAGAAAAATTACAAAATTACTTCATGGATCCTTATGAGCATTTTCAATAGAGGGCTTGCAGAGGGTAATTATTCTGCATGGCTTGGGATCTTTTACTGTGAGTGGCTATTTTTCTCTTTAGGTGTGGAATCCATAGCATGTTCCCCTTACATTTAGCTGCCCTAAATGCTCACTCTGACTGCTGCAGGAAGTTATTATCAACTGGTAAGTGAATCCATGCTAGCAATTAGGCCTGATGTGTCCTGTCCATGAGCCAAATGGCTTTAGGTATCTGGTCTCAGTGGCTGACTGTGCTTGGCCATTGCCTTCCCTTGGCAGGGTGAGGTGGTGCATAGCCCACCTGCATGAGACATCTCCTGGCAGTCCCCAAAGTCAAAGCTTTTTGGATGCCAGTGTTGCTGCCTAGAATGAGCATCTTGTCTGTTTTAAAGTGGTCCAGAATTGGGTGGAGGAAATGGCCAGAGCTTACATATGGGAACCTTAGTCATAGAAGGAAAAAAATTGAGACTTAAGTTATTTAACATTTAATACTGTTCAACAAAAGAAAATGGCCCAATCTTCAATATTTCAGTGGTAGAAAATAGCATGTTCTCATTCCATTCTGTGGGCATTGAAACATCAGCAAGGCAGATCTCTTTCCAAGCAGGTTTAATTTTTATATTTTTAATGCAGGGCTATCTGGAACCAGAGATTGTCTCTGTGTTAGCTTTGCTGATCTTTCTTATCACTGCTTCTGCCAGTTCCCATCTACTAAGAAGTTCCCGGGTAGAAGCCTGCAGGGTAGAGATTGCTTATGAATTAGTTCTTTAGCTATCCCAGAGGCATATGTCTTTCTCTAAGTACTTTACCTATGGTGGATTGTGTTCTCACTGCTTTTGGCATGCTTAAAAATAATCCCTGCATGAAAACATGCTTCCCACATCTTAGACCACAGTAAGGTTGGGAGGATTACTCCTCTGCCTTCCATGTTTCTCATATGTTCTGTCTGCCTGTCCACTGCCCTACTTATCTCAAATTAGTTTAATAAATTTCTATCCTGGGATTGGAACTGGGTCTGTGGCTCACCCAGGGCTAATGCGAAAATCAGTCCTTCTTAACTTCATGGTGCTTGAGTGGTTGCCATTCATTTCTGTGACAACCCCTTTCTTACTAAAGTTGCTTGCATTCTGGTTTTCCTACTAACTGATTTTTTCTGTCTCTGCGATGTTTCTTGTGGTTTAACTAGGACAAAAGTATAGCATAGTGTCCTTGTTTAGTAATGAGCACGTGCTGTCTGCAGGCTTTGAAATAGACACCCCAGATACGTTTGGAAGAACGTGCCTACATGCTGCTGCTGCAGGAGGGTGAGTACTACTGATTGGTCGTTATTTCATGACTTGATGACTTCATACATCTTAATTGACACACATTGCCTGTGAACCAAAGGCCATTTCCTTAGTAAATGAGGTCCCAATCACTTTTACCAAGTATCGAGTGTCACTGGCTTCATTTCCACATCACTCAGATTTTGTTCTTCCAAAGAAAAATGAATAGTCCATCCTGTGTAGTGCGTAGGGCTTGTGCTGTTATCTTCCAATGCCCCCGCCCCCACGGCGGTAAAGTGTCAGACTATACAATGCGGATTTCTACTTGGAATGTTTTCTACTGAAAGAAATTAATTTGAACTTTGTTCTTAAGCCCCCACCCCACTGTCTTTGTTGCCAGTTGATCAGGGTGGCAATTAAGAAGGTAAAGGAGTGAATCAATTTATGCTCATTTTGATGTTTTTGTAATAAATAAAAAGTAGTTTTGAGATTTTTAGGATGATTAAATGTAAACAAAGGTCCAGGAAATCCTAAAGATGGGCAACAGTGATTTATTCCCTGCCCTTTCCCCTGTAACAAAGAGCCTTGTTTCATCAGCTTTTTTCTTAGCAAATCCATGGTTAGATCAAAGCTCTGATCAATATATTGTTGATATATGACCACATATTGACCACACATAGTGTCTTTTGGATGACCTTGTGTTGGGAAGGTGTTGGTTTCTAATCAGTTTCCTAGTACCTAAGGAATTCTCCATTTATCATGTGTGTTACCAAAGACATTACCTATTTATCAGAGGTGAATGAACCATGAAACTGAAAAGCTCCTTATTTACATGGGTCCCTTCTGGAGTCATAAACTAACTTATACCGAGTTACTGTATTTTAAAAAAGGGACCCCTTCCTCCAGCCTCAGTTCTCAAAGAGGATGAGATTTGTGAACCACACAGGCCTAATCCACCCATTGCCTTTGATCTTTTCCATCCATCATTCAGGAAGAGATAGATGCTGAATATTAGTTGCCATGCCAAACCAATTCAAATGTTCCTGTAAAAATTCATACATTTTGTGACGCTTATATCAGCTATCTGAGAAAGGGGGCTATGAAGAGTAGATGTGGAACGGGGGAAGAGCCCTTGAAAGGCTCATCACTAATGAGGTCATTTTTCTTATTTAACTTATAATAAAACAATACATTCTGAGTCACTTCTTAGTGTTCGGGTTTAGAATGACGGTGGATGATTATGCCTCCATTTTAAAGAATATTGAACCTGCCCAGAAAGTGACAACACACCATGCTGGGTTTATATTTGAAATGCCTAGTAGAATGAATATTAGCTACATGCCTTTCAACAGGAAAAGTCACTTCAATGGGTCCTTTCTCTGTGCTGTGTGATTTATTGCACTTGTGAATGACAAAGCTGCTTGGAATGATCCCTACGCTCCATTACATCATTTTCAGTGTTGGTCCAGCACATTTATTTACCTGGGTTACAAAGACAGGGAAGTGCAGCTGTCTTTTTTCCATTAAGGGGTATGGGGTTGAAAGTGCTTATTGTGGGGATTTATTATGCTGAGATAAAAGGGAGTGCTCAGCCAGTTTGCTTCATTGTTTAAAGGTGACATGGAATCATTAGACTGCAGTGGTTTCATAAACTCTTTTAGGATAAATGATGATGCTGTCATTGGAGGGATTAATCATATAATAATCATTCAGTTCCTTAGTCATTGAGTTGGAAATGTTCCATGAATCCCTTTCATTTATTGATTTATTAGTTTTGAGAAAGGAACTTTAAATCCTTACAATGCAGTGTTCCTGGGATATGTCCAGGTTATTTCTTGTTAGTGGAATTTTAGACCCTAGGCTATTATTTCATCCCAGCTTATACTCTGCAGAAAATACCTCTTCTTGGAGGTACCTTTGTAATTAGCCTGACCATACTAATTATGTTTTCCCTGTCTTTCTAGCAATGTAGAATGTATAAAACTCTTGCAGAGCAGTGGAGCAGATTTTCACAAGAAGGACAAATGTGGGAGGTATGTACTCAGGCTGACCTGCCTCTGGAGTCTAAAGAGAGAGGGGAATAGTCCATTGAGCAGGCCTGTTGTTGAGATGGTCACCATGGGACAACTTGGGGCAATTCCATCCTCAGGAGGCAATCCCTCCCTGTAGGGAAGCACCAACAAAGACTACAGGCCCATGAGCTAAGGGCTCTCTCAACTTCTGCTTTTTAAAAAATTGCCTACCTGGATATGTTTTAGAAAAATAGCATAATAGACTACTTGAGTGCACCAAACTCAAAATACGGGCTTGAAAGGTGACTCAGGAGGTAAGAACACCTGCTGTTCTTACAAAGGATTAGAGTTCAGTTCCTAGCACCCATGTCTTCTGGTTCATAACTGCCTATAACTCCAGTTCCAGGGGATCTAATACTGCTTTCTGGAACTCCCCCACTCCCCCTACAGAGACATACAGGCAGACACACAAATAAAACTAAAAGATTAAAAAATATGGTTAAAAGATCTACAGCATTTGTTTTCTATATTGGGCATTTCATCTTGAGATAAATTTCTAGACATTTGAAATGTCATAGAACTTTTCTTAACCTCCATAACCCCTTGCATAGCTAAACTGTGACACATGACTGCATGGAGGTTGTGTAGACAGCTCTTCCCCTCCTTACCTGCCCTGATCTTTGGGGATGACTCATGTTCCTTTTCCTAACCCTCATCTCTGATGACTCTACTCATCCTCCCAGATTCAGATCAAATGAAACTTTCTTGCCACTGTTACGGAAATGTTCCTCCTGTGTTCCCCTAGCGCCCTGAATACTCCATGATGGCACCATACTAGTTGTGCCTTTCCCCATCTGACTGCAAGTCTCCTGAAAACCAGGACTAAGTGTCATCTTTCCCTTCCCTTCCCTTCCCTTCCCTTCCCTTCCCTTCCCTTCCCTTCCCTTCCCTTCCCTTCCCTTCCCTTCCCTTCCCTTCCCTTCCCTTCCCTTCCCTTCCCTTCCCTTCCCTTCCCTTCCCTTCCCTTCCCTTCCCTTCCCTTCCCTTCCCTTCCCTTCCCTTCCCTTCCCTTCCCTTCCCTCCCTTTTCCTTCTCCTCCCCTCTCCTCCCCCTCCCCTCCCTCTCTCCTCTTCTCCCCTCCCCTCCTTTTCCTTCCCCTTTTTCCCTCCCCTCTTCTTCCCCCTTATTTTCCTTTCCCACCCTCCCCCTGCCTCTCCCCTTCTACTCCCTGCCTCTTCCCTTCCCCCTTCCCATCCCCTCATCTTCTTTTCCCACTCTTCCCCTCCCCTTTCCTCCCTTCCCCTTCCTCTGCCATCCCCTGTGCCCCTTCTTCCCCATCCTTCCCCCCGCCCTCCCCTCCCCTTCCTGTCTCTCCTCTTACCTCTTCCACCTCTTCTTTTCTTTTGTCTTGTCTACTCCTCTCTCTGAGTGTGTGTGTGTGTGTGTGTGTGTGTGTGTGTGTTGCTGTGAATCAATCAAAGCCACAGTATTGCACATGCTAGGCAAACCCTCCACTACCGAGTGACATTTGTAGACTAATGCAAATGACATTTGCATTTAGTTTTGAGACAGGGACTTGCTGTGAATTCTAAACTGGCCTTGAACTCACAACCCTTCTATTTCAGCCTCCCCAGTGTTGAGATTATAGGCATGTGTTCCTGAATCTAGCTTTCTTTCATCCTTAAGTCATTTTCAGTCCAATTAATTAAAACAGAAGCAATCCAATATGTAAAATATAATTTCATATAATTCTTCCATTTGGACTGGAGAGAAAATCAACTAGTAAAAGAGTCCCAAGTTGTCTGCAAAATGAAAAAAAAGTGCTTAAAAACTGATAAATAATTTTTGAGTTAATGTTACTTTATTTTTAGTATTCTACATGTTATTATTCCTGGGATATTGGTTAGTTGCACCAGAAAAAATGTCAGGTAATTGGAAACTAAAAATAAGTAATATGAATTCCTTCATATTTCTCAGACTAAGAAGCTGCCTTCTAGAATAGAAAGAGTGACTGTGGAACAATGGTTAGGAAAGGGGTACTCCTAAGGAGAAATGGGCATGAATGAAGGTGAAGTGTAAACATGATCTAGAGACCCTCATCATCCAGTTTGCATTCATTAGTGGGTTGATAGTGTGCATACGTGAGAGAGATGTTCTGTAGAAGGAACTGAGACAGCCTTCAGTTACAGGCTGAGAAATCAAGCCATTGTCAATGGGGAAGACTAATGGTTTTAGAATGGAATTGTCATAGGTGGGGATTGGTCCTTTGAAAACCCAGCCAGAAGCTATATAGAAGCTTGATTAGAGTCAAGGACGGTTCATTTAAAAAAAGTTCATTAGCATGCATCAATTAATGCAGAAGGATGGATTTCACTGTGACGTTTTCTTACATGCATATAGTACATACTTTGTATTTATGCACTCCATTGCCCTCTCTTACTCTTCCCGCATCCTCCCTTCTTCCCTGTCAATCTCTAAGAATGGTCTTTTGTTTGTTTGTTTGTTTGTTTGTTTGTTTAGACAGTGTTTCTCTGTGGCTTTAGAGGCTGTCCTGGAACTAGCTCTTGTAGACCAGGCTGGTCTCGAACTCACAGAGATCTGCCTGCCTCTGCCTCCCGAGTGCTGGGATTAAAGGTGTGCGCCACCACTGCCCGGCCCTAAGGATGGTCTTAATGAAGATGATATAGATGGTTCTTTATGGGGCACTCTTGCCACGGACAAGCAATAACATAGATGTAATCCAGAGTAGACACTTGGAATAGAAAGAAAGGATAGTGTCATGGTGGCTGGCCTTGCTAGAAGCCACCTGTCTTTGTAGACTTGGTTTTGCATTCCTCGGGTTCCACACACTGAGAGCTGAAGCAAGAATTCCGCAGCCAGTGCTTATGCCAGTGATGAATCTGCTAGACTGAGTAAAGTAAAATAGTAATAAACAGCAACAATAATAATCACTGTTTGTTTTTCAGGACCCCATTGCACTATGCAGCTGCAAATTGCCATTTCCACTGTATTAAAGCATTAGTGACCACAGGAGCCAACGTTAATGAAACAGATGACTGGGGACGGACAGCTCTGCACTATGCTGCTGCGTCAGACATGGATAGAAAGTAAAAATAGCCTTGCTTGTGTTTCATCTTGGGGTAGAGCCAGGAAGGGGGGGGGATTGTGTTTTCTTCACACTGCCTGCTAAAAACTGCAGATGAGGACTCTCCCATTCAGAGTGGAGGATCAGCCACACCCCAGGCTTCCCCATTCTCTCTCTATTTAGATTTTGTTGTTATATGCCATTGCATAGTTTTTTCTCTTCTCTGCTTTTTGGGTTAAATGCCAAGTAGAGCTGTCAAGCCCAGGCTTTTTAGTTCAGGCTTTGGAAATCTGTTGGAATTTATTTGGCATACACAATAGTTTCCATCATTGCCACTTAAATGCTTCATCTGCTAATATATGTCCTGTGTGAAAACATACCCACCAAAGCATAATCCCTTCAAATGCAGCCTTGTTGTGATGACATTAGACACTGTTCTTCTCAACCTGGGCATGAACACTGACTCAGCAGCTGCAGAAGAATAATTTTTTTGTCTTTTTTTTTCCCCTCAAGACAGGGTTTCTCCGTGGCTTTGGAGGCTGTCCTGGAACTAGCTCTTGTAGACTAAGCTTTTTTGTCTATTTTAAATTAATTTATTTTTTGCATTTCAACCCCAGTTGCCCCTCCCTTCTCTCCTCCTGCTCCCTTCACTTCTCCCTACACACACCTCCCATCTGCTCCTCAGAGAGGGTAAGGCCTCCCCTAGGAAGTCTACTAAGTCTGTCCCATTATCTAGTTGAGGCAGGACCAACGCCCCTCTCCACCCCCACACTCCTGTGTCTAGGCTGGGCAAGGGATCTCTCCATATTGAATGGGCTCCACTAAGTTAGTTTGTGCATTAGTGTTAGATCTTGGACCCACTAACAGTGACCTCATATATTGTCCCAGCCACACCATTGTCACCTATATTAGGGGAGTCTAGTTTGGTCTTATTCAGGTTCCCCATTTGTCAGACCTGAGTCAGTGATCTCTCACTAGCTCAGGTCTGCTGATTCTGTGGGTTTACCCATCATGGTCTTGACTCCTTTGTTCATATTATTGCTCTTCCCTCACTTTGATTGTACTCCAGGATCTTGAACCAATGGTTAGTTATGGATTTCTGCATTTGCTTCCGTTTCTGGAAGTGGGTTGAAGCTTCTCTGGGGTTGTAGCTTGTAGGCTAGGTATCTTTTGCTTTATATCTGGTATCCACTTATGAGTGAGGACATACTATATTTGTCTTTCTTGTTTTGGGTTACATCATTCAGGATTGTTTTTTCTAGTTCTGTCTATGTGCCTTTGAATTTTAGGGTGTCATTGTTTCTTATCACTGAGTAGTACTCTATTGTGTAAATATACCATATTTCCTTTATCCATTCTTCAGTTGAGAGGCATCTAGGTTTTTCCAAGATCTGGCTATTATGAATAATGTTGCTATGAACGTAGTTGAGAAAATGTCCTTGTGATGTGAATGTGCCTCCTTGGGGTATATGCCCCAAAGTGGTATTGCAGGGTCTTGAGCTAGGTTGATTCCTAATTTTCTGAGAAATTGCCATACTGATTTCCACATCATCTGTACAAGTTTGCACTCCCACCAGCATTGGAGGAGTATAGAAGAGGAATTTCTTATTCCAAACACGTATGGACTATAGGTGGCTAGACTTGGAAAGCAAACATCACTGAACCACTGCAAAGGGGAAAGGTGATGGGGTCCCACAGTTTATGTAGTTCTTAAAATTACAGAAAGACTTTGATAAGTTTGCCTGACAACTGTTGAATTATTGATTCTGGGTTAGTACTGATAGCTTCTTTTCTAGAAGAATGACATTTAAACGTTTAATTTTAATATATAAGTAAGCCAAGCATATGCTTTTCTATTGGGCTATATCACAAGCCCTTTCAAGCATTTGAGATGGTGATCCAAGTAAGAAATACATCTTATATTATGATACAGTGCACATGTCCACATGTATGTTCATACATGAGAAGTAAAAACCTCACAAATCGTATTTATTGTATTGATGTGTTATATTTTCTATTTTATTTTGATGACTTCAACCTAATTGGTATCACTTAGTAACAGGTTGTGATCCATTGTTTAAAATAATATGTATGAAAATCCAGGTTTATGATCTTGGCATTTGGCAGATGGAAGCAGGAAGATCAGGAATTCAAGTTCATCCTCTGATACATAGAGAGTTTGAGGATAGCCTAGGTTACATGAGATCCTGTCTCAAAAAACAAACAACAACTATACATATACACACATGTATACACTTGCACACAGCTTGGAGCTCTCTCAGTCGGTAAAGTGTTTTTCATGCAAACATGAGTTCTGAATTTGATATCCAGAACCCACATGAAAGTACCCAGGTACCTGGCTGGGCTGCAGAAATGGTTTATTAGTTAAGACTTCTTGCTGCTGCTCTTCTAGAGGACCTAAGCTCAGTTGGTTCACAACCACATGTAATCCCATCTCTAAGGGATCTCACCCACATGAACCCTTGCACACATGTGGCTTTCACCAACACAGATACATAGATACACATAAATTTAAGAAACCAAATATATTAAAAATCCAAGTATGGTGGCAGCATGATGACCAGCCAGTCTAGCCTACTAGATGACCTGCAGAGCAATGAGCAACACTGTCTCAAAAAACCAAGTGGATGGCTCTTAAGAAGGTTGCCCGAAGTTGACCTCTGACCTCCACATACATGTGTAAACACAAGCATGCTCCTACATAAGCATGAACAGCCCCATTTCATCATGTGTTTACATAAATACGTTTCTAATAAGATGTCACGCTTGGCATCTTGCATGCAGGTTTTTAATTGAGCAATGCAGGGCTTTGGGGAAAAGATAGGCCGCAGGAAGGGTGAGAGAGAAAGTGCATCTCATGTTTTAAGGGCTAGAAGGGAAAATCTAGGAGGTGAAGGGCAGGATTCCTCATAGGAAGTGAAATGCTGGGCTGGACAGAAAGTGTGAGGGTATGGTAGCAGGTGGAGGAGCCTGGGCTAAGTCGTATCTGTTTACTTGGAAAGTTCTAGGATACCTATAGAGTAGTAGGCAGCTTGATTCTGCTCTTCATCTCACAGAGCTAGGGAATTTTAGGAAAGTGATGTTCACAGTTGGATTCTATGAGAGGAAAGAGATTTCCTACATGCCTTGGAGAGAACCAATGTACGTCCCTTTTGGGTTGGGGTAAAAATCACAGATATATTTGTGTAAAAACTATCAGCAATTTTAAATTAAAAGTTAATTGTGATTTTTTTTCCCTGTGTCTTATTCTGAGAAGTAAGATGATCTTAGGAAATGCCCATGACAATTCAGAAGAACTTGACAGAGCCAGGGAAATGAAGGAAAAAGATGCTGCACTGTAAGTTTCTTTGGGGCATAAGGGGGGGGGGGTGCCACACTCTTTGGTTCCTCTGGGTTGCCACATGGCTGTCTTCCTACTGGGGGTTCCCTTGGGGATCCCAAGAAAGGGTGGAGATATGGACTCACCTTCAACGCATCCATCCGTTCTACTGTTCTTATGTGTGGGACTCTTTATAAAACTATAAGCTTGCTTTGACTACCATTGTGATGGGCCAGCATCCTTAGGTCTTAAATATATCTGACTCTGTCATGTATCATATACCATGAGGAACATGTAAAGCCTCCACTTGGGACCTTAGGTTCTACTTTGATGACTTGGGGATAATTATTTCACAGATTCTATAAATAAAGTTCTTTAGTCCTTGCTGTGAAATTCCCCTCAGACCCTTGACTTACAGATAACCTCCTGCTTCTTGTAAACAGCTACCCCTGACCATGCTGCCCCATACTGGCTTCAGACAGGGTCTTCACTGTTGCTATGAAAGGGCCTGAAGTATTTGCCATCATCACAAACAGATCAGCACAGAAATTCCTGACAGTGGTGAGCCCAACACTTAGTGCAGTGAACCAGTTTGCCCACTTTGGACCTCATCACCGGGGAGATACAGTGCTCTGAGAGTCTGCAGGCATGTGTTCCACAGTGTGTTTATTTTCTTCCTGAGTTGCCTCAGGAATGAGTTTCTGTGCCTGAATGTTTGTGTTCACTCCAAGGCTTCCACATTGCCCACTCTGATCTCCTCCCCATGTCCCCGTGTCTAAAACGTTACAGACACTGAGGATAGCCCTGGTGCAGGTTATAGGACATAACTATTTCTGGGATAGAGACAGACACTGCTGTGAGTAAAACAGAATGGCCAAGTTTCACTTTAATACACCTAAATTTAAAATAATAATGTTAAAAAATAGAGAATGCTGTTACCTTAGCAAGCCTCGTGTTCGCCATTGAATTACAGACTTGCCTATGCCAGCCCAGGCTCACTAGTAATTGGAGGAAGGGTCAGGAACAACCATACTCCACTCTCTAAGTCAGGGACCTAATGTTCTGTTGATCTTGTATCCCAAGTGGCCGAGCTGCTAATCCACCCTGGGAGTAGAAGGGATGAGCCTCACCAGTTGAACACGGGGTCTGTTTTTTTTTCTTAGGAACTACGTGGAGATTATACAAATTCCACACTTCTTCTGTGGCTGTATCTGTACAGTTGTCATCTTGTTTAGCTATGTACTGGACTAAATAATACTCTGGGAGGAGCTATTAATGCTTTCTAAATTATAAATTTAGCTTATCAAATGACTTTTTTTGCAACCCATTCAGAGACTGGGGGTTGTGTGTCCATAGAATGCTACTCCTGTGAATGATTTATGTAAGAGCTACATTCAGTTTACAGTGAGTCATGCACAAGATCCTGTCCACGGACATTTAGTTACCCAAATAAAAAAGTACTTCCTTTTAAGGTCTGAAGGACCAAAGACAGCATGATAGCAGGACTTTAATAAGAGTTTGATTTCTTTTGGAGCATTTTATAGATAAATACAGCAAGTAGATTGGGCTTTCATGTTTATCTTCAGTCAGTTTTCTAAAAATTAAAGAAGCAGTTTGTCTTTTTATCCATTTGGCACATATTTATCTTTGGTCAGTTTTCTAAAAATTAAAGAAGCAGTTTGTCTTTTTATCCATTTGGCTTTCAACCAAAAGGTAGGTAAATGCAATTTCAAAGTTTTTAAATAAACTATAGAAAGCTCCCCCGGGAAAATCTTATTTAATCAGAAGGGTTAGATTTAGAATCTTAAAACCCTGAGAGCCACACGTGGGTTGGTGGCTCATGCTTGTAATCCCAGGACTGGAAGGAGAAGCAGGAGGATCAGGAGTTCAAAGTCACCCTCAGCTACACAGTGAGTTTGAAGCCAGTCTGGGTTACATGAGACCCTGCCTCAAAAAAAAAAAAAAATTAACAAGTCTTGATGTAGAGTAAGAAATTGAATCAGCATGGACTTGTTGGGGACTCATTTATCTAGCTAGTTCTTGCCCCTTGTAAAGCAAAGACCTGATTACCCAGTGAATCCCAGGGTTCTGGGATTCTAGAACCTGAGGCTCTTCAGCAAAGGTCGAGGTAAACACCTCCCTCTGCCAAGTGTGTCAAGTCTTTTGACATTGCAAGCACAATTCTGTCATCACAGAAAACTCTCACAATGTTTTAAATTAGTGTTCTTTTGTGTTGGGCCTCATTCATCATTATCCTCAGTTGTTTGTGGCTACAAGTTAGACATAATTGTGGCCTATTTTGTCACTTTTTCAGAAGAAAATTATGCCAGAAAAGGCTTTTGAAATTCATAATTTTGCCTAGTCTATGTTCCTGATGGTGTAACTTAAGTTTCTTCAAGTGTAGTCACTGAATGAATTCTTTGTATCTTTTAAATGTTTAGCCACTCTTTTGGTCTTTTTATTATTCAGTCTACTCTGGGTTCTTTTCTTCTTAATCTGTTTTAAACCTGAAATTCTTGATTATAATCTTAATCTTCATCTCCAATAATGATGTCAGAAAGAGTCCCTTCTCTATTGTGCTTCCCCAGCTGCAGTGGCCTGACCACTCCTTTATTACATTTGAGACTTGTGAACATGGAGATCTTAATCTTATATATAACTCAGTAACCTTGATGACAGATATGTCTCTACCTTGACTTGAGAAGGGGAAAAAGACATTTAATTGCCCACTTGTCCCTAAAGTTTCCCCTGACTTCTAAGAGTGTTATTTTATGATGAAATAGAGACAGATAAAGAGAGCATGTGCTCTCCTCCCACCCTAGCACATAAAACTTTATTGTAATTGGCTCCTTACATATTCCCTGTCTCGGATGCTTTGTGGAATACTCATAACAGAGGGGCTTGCGCCGATTGTCCCTTCTGGTGCAGCAGTGTTTCTGAGGCTGTATCTTTATGCTTACAGCTGCCTAGAGTTTCTGCTTCAAAATGATGCAAACCCATCCATCCGGGACAAGGAAGGCTACAACAGCATTCATTATGCTGCTGCTTATGGCCACAGACAGTGTCTAGAACTGGTAAGTTGTCTTGTCCGTTCATTTCTTTTCTGACATGATACTGGCCCTGAACTCCTGACAGCTACCCTCAGTACCTAGTGCAGTCACCACTAGGAATCCAGGCGAGATGGTTTCTGCTAACTGAAAAAAAACTGTTCGATGTTACAGTACAAAGATTTCTTTGTTCCTTTCTCTCCTCATCTGACTGACAGTGGACTCATCCACATTATTTGTGGTCAGAATGTTAGACCCCTGTGTAGAAGCAGCTTTTATTTTAAAGATAAGTAGGATGTGTCCAGAGGAAAACTTAGCACTGCAGTGCTCACTAATGGTACTGTAGCTTTGTGTTTGACTGATTCAGTCACTAGGCACATGGGTTCATTTGGGCCAATCCCATGTCTGGAGTAGAAAGAAAGAAACTGGCAAGGGCCAAGAACAGAATTTGATCTTTAAAAAAAAAAATCAAATGATCAAGAGATACCTGTGTGTGATGGGGGAGGGGGTTGAAATATGAACTCTTCTCTTGGTGATGGTTATGAGACCTAAAACTCAAATGCCCACAGTGACTTCAAATGTTAAGGGTGAAGTAAGCTCAGGTGTAGAACAGTCAGGAGTGATGGGGACTGGGCCATGCTATAAAGAGCCAGGCGTTGGTGGCACACGCCTTTAATCCCAGCACTCATCGGGAGGCAGAGACAGGCAGATCTCTGTGAGTTTGAGGCCAGCCTGGTCCACAGAGTGAGTGCCAGGATAGGCTCCAAAGCTACACAGAGAAACTCTGTCTCGAAAAACCAAAACAAACGAACAAACAAACAAAACAAAAGAGCCATGCTGTAAAGGGATAAACAGCTGGTTAGAAGACCAGGAAGGAAAGGGTTGCTAGAAATGGTGTGTGTGTGTGTGTGTGTGTGTGTGTGTGTGTGTGTGTGTGTGTGTGTGTTTACACCTGGAACCAGCAGCTAAATCTATGAGCCATGTCCTTGAGTCATGAAGGGCAAAAGATAGCTTCATGGATTCACACTGAACTCAGATCACCAGCTTGGTCAGCAAGTGCTTCTACCCAATGAACCATATAGCCAGACCTAAAATCTGACTCTTTAATGTAAGGTTTCCTGTTTTGAAATCTTCCTGGGGAGGCTGAGGGGAAAGTTTGTTCATAGCTACATCCAGCCTGCAGGTCACTGCTACTTTCTGGATACCACTTTTGGTTCATCTTCATTGGGATACTTGAACGTCCCAACTCACTCACTGTGTGGACTGATGGCAGGTACCATTTTTACTTACTGCCCTTGAATGTGTTTATATCTCTGTGTGGTGGTTTGAATGGAAATGGCCCCCATAGGCCTATAGAGAGTGGCACTATTAGGAGATGTGGCCTTGTTGGAGTGTGTTACACCAGGTGGGCTTTGAGGTCTCAGATGCTCAAGCCAGGCCCCCTATTTCACTCTTTTCCTGATACCTGGGGATCTGGATGCACAATGCTCAGCTCTTTCTTCAGTACCATGTCTGCCATCATGCAGCCTTGCTTCCTGCCATGACCATAATGGATTAAACCTCTGAACTGTAAGCCAGCCCCAATTAGATGTTTCCTTACAAGTTTTTTCATGGTTGGTCATGGTGTCTCTTCGTAGCAATAGAAACCCTGACTAAGACAGCCTGAAAACCAACATTTGGGAGGCTGAAGCAAGAGGATCATGAGTGTGAGGCAAGCCGGGGTTCATAATGTTATCCTGTGTCAGGAATAAGGAAGTTGGGCCAGGCATGATGGCACACACCTCTAACCAAGCACTTGGGAGACAGAGGCAGGTGGGCTCTGTGAGTTTGAGGTCAGCCTAGTCTATATAATAAATTCCAGTCCAGCCAGTGCTATAGAGTGAGATTCTGTCTCAATCCATCTATCCATCATTATTTATCCATCCATCCATCCATCCATCCATCCATCCATCCTCCATATCTTTTTTCATACTACTTTACCATGTTTTTCAGAGATATTTTTGAAGAAACACACAATATCTACTGGATGTGGTTTACTAAAAAGACATGAAGTAAGAAGCCAGCAAACTAAAGTACTGTACCTCCACACAAATAACTGTAGTGCACCCTTTTTCCTTCAGTTGGTTTCACTTAGGGTCAGTCCTATTACATTTCTTTTACTATGGAACACAGGAAAATCCATATAAAGTTACCAAATTTGGAAGCAAAAATAGGATTATTCTTGTATTGCTTTTCATTGCACGGGTTGGTAAGTTGTATTTATCTTCATCACTCTTGAAGAACTCAGCACCATCTTTTCTCAGGTTCTTGTGAATACTGGTGAGTTCCTTGTTTGACCTTGGGGGATAGGTAGCACAAGTTCTAATAGGTCTTAATAATTAAAAAAATCTGGAGTCAGATGTGTGTGGGGGGGGTGTAGCTGAAGGATCAGAGAAGCAAAACTAATTCTTACCTCTACTGAATCCTCAGACCAAAGGGGCGATCTGTCTCTAGGAGTCCTCAGACTGACTGCCTAGACAGCATCTGTCTCTACAAATCCTCAGACTGCTGCCTCAGACTGCCCTGAGCTCCTGGCTCCTCCCGCCTTTTGAACACAGAGCTGCTGCTTGGTGGAAGCTGGTTAGGATGAGGCAATGTTATCTTTGCCTCTTAACTCTAGCTTTGCAGTAGTGCTTGCTCTATACCTATGAGCAAATATGACTTTGAGCTTAGACCTCATATATGAGAGGCTCCTCCCAAAGCGTGTGCACGTGTATGAATGTGTATTGTCACCACTGGGAGGTGAGGACTTATGTTGTAATTACCCACTATGAGGCTGTCTTCTGAAAACTGCACAAGACACAGCTGTCGTTAATTGCTTCTCTCTCAGAAAACCACATGCCATAATTGGAAATATGAACCTTTATTACAGTTTGTTATTATCTCTTAATAATATGTGCTGTTCAATGGAGCTGTAATGAGTTATCTTTAGTCCTGTAGCACAGAGCACAATGTTCTGGAAACACCTTTTTTCTGTCAAGTGATGTGTTGCATGCATTGTCTTCCTTTTTCAGGGATGCCATTTTAGAGTCATTATTTCTTCTCTCAGACAAGAAGGATTTTCTGTCCACAAGACAAAAAAAGACATGGCGGTTTGATTGGATCAATTGTTGCCTTTGTATTTACAGACCTAAATGCATGGAAATTAGGAATAGTCTATAGTAGGTAGGGGAAGTATTAACTGATCTTCATTTATGCTGTCAGTTGAATCAGACTAGATTATCAATATAAATGGTGGACGCATCACCCTTGTTTGCTTTTAAGAAAGAATCTGTGAATCGTTTATCACACAAATAGAGTTTCCCGAATGGTTACTGTTGGATGGAAAGCTTTATGAGTTCCCCATTTTGGAGTGCATCCTACAATTCCTCTTAGGTGCAGTTTGTTCTAAGCAAACTTCGGACATTCTCACAATCCCTCCCCTCCATGACACCAAATCAAAACAAAGCAGAACCAGAGAATAACCCTGCATTCTCTCCCCACCACCAAATGTGCAACATTAAGCCAGGCATTTGCAGGTATCTTATCCTCCTGCCAGCTCATCCAACAGGAACCAGTTTGGGGAAGAGATGGGACAGGATGAGGTCATCTCTGGGACAAGTGTTAAATGAAGGAGTAAGGTGGTTTTTGTTTTGTTTTGTTTGTTTTTATGGGAAAGCATTTCTAATTTTCCCTCCAGCCTTGGGAAACTAGTGCCATCATAGTCTCTAAAATCCCCATTTCCTTAGGAACTAGAAGTTGGGAAAGCAAAGCAACAATCTTCTGTGCACAGGGGTAGATTTCTGTGATTCACTGTCATGCCAAATGCCCCTTATCTCATGTAACAAACACCCCATCTTTTTGACAAGTTGGCCCTGACTCCCAGCCAGGTTTTCACATGAGAAGCCCTGTTTCTATGGAACTCTAGTAACCTACTAGACTCTCTGAGAAAACATCCTTCCAAAAGCCTGTTCTTCACATTCCCAGCCTATGCTCTGGCCTGTAGAGGGAACAGAAAGTATAAATGAACACTTTCTACTAGACCAGGCTTTGTCTTTTGGGAGCTGCTGTGAGATGAAAGAGGACAAATGGCCATTGGAACGAGCTGACTTTTGTGCAGTTGGTGACATTGATGGCTAGCCCTTCCTCTCAGCTAGTGGATTACTGCTGTGTTTATGCATGTCACTAAATTTGTTATCACTAAATTGTATGCATATGTATAAATGACTGACATTTAACTTAGTCCACATTTGCTTGGCACTCGAGGTTTTTGGTTCTTGTCTGTGATTAAAAGCTTAGAATTTGCAAACCACATTTTGTTTTCAATTTATTTTGCTGTAGTCAAAATGGAACAGAAGTTACATTAGCTGTTTTAACTCTATTTTCTGTATTTAGGCTGATTTTGAGTTAGTTCCACAACAAAAAGCTCCTAGAAAGTGATGTATTCTGGTCTTGACAGACTAGTCAGGTTCAGAATTCCAGCCCACCCACCTACTTAGGCCAGTGTTCTCATAGCTTTTGATCAAGGATGTATGTCCTGAGCTTCCTCCAAAAATCTGCCCACCAACATGTACAACAAACCATGATTAGTCAAATTCAACTGGGCTCAGACTACCAAAGCAGAGCAGAGGGTTTGTGTCTAATAAAGCACCTGTGTATGAATCAAATGTTTGCTTGAGTGGAGGAGGGGCCCTGGCACAGAGCTTAGACCACTGTGTACTGTGCATTCAGACTGACTAGAAAGAGAGAAATTTGGGAAGCGTGCCCCTATTTGGAATTTCAGTTTCTGATGGTATGCTAGCTTTCTTTTACAATATTGAGCATTTCTCTGTGAACATAAAGACAATTATGACTTTGTTACTTTCAAAGTGGAAAAACGTGTCTTCCCATGTAATTGAATAAATTGCCTATACAGACTTAGAAAGATGGTTTAAAAACTAGAATTCGGATTGGATTCAGTTCAGGATTTTGCTAAGCTTAATCACTTTGAATTTGGCTGCTTCCCTGGATCTCCTGTGAGCTTGAACTTTGACAATAAGAATATGTGAGGTAGCAAACAACCCCTGCATGTACATTCTAGGAGTTCTGGGATTCTCTGAAGAGAGCTATGTTTTGGGCAACTGAAAACAAAATCATGTTACATTCATATAAACTTCTATGTATTTCTTATGTTTACCATAGACTTGAGCATTGTTAGAAACTGGCTCTGAATAAATATATGCAT